TAAGGGTTGGAATTCATAAACTCCTTATTTTCCCTAAGATATAAAGATTAAACCCGCGCCTAATTACATTGCATTTTCGCTTCATTAATCTACTAATGTCGAAAAGATGTATATCTTTGTTCATCTTCACCAAATTTCTTACAAAACAAGTTATTATGTAATCTTTTAGATCTCGTATCTCTTTCTTTAAATACGGTTACATGAAATAGGAAATGAGATAGAGCGTAGCTTTGGCAACATTGAAGTTTGTTGGTTATATGCTATTAAAAGGGGATTTGCGTGAGTAAAACGTGTTAATTGGTCTCTTTTCAGTTTCCAGCTGTTCCCGTTTCTTTTATGACGGCAGGCGGATCTCAGATATCTAGGCTTTTACATTAAATACTTGTTTTTTTAGTTTTATTTTGAAGATGTATGTCTCGTAACGAGACTTTATACAGTTTTTTTTAATGCATCCATTAAAAAAAACTGTACAAAGTATCATCATAATGGAAGGGTGCACCCGCCTGCGCTAATGGCTGGCGGGGCACCAGAGGAGGATGATAAAATGAACATAAGGTCAGGACAATTAGCCCATCGCGACATTTCACCTGGTATTTGTCACGGTGGGTTCCGGAGGGAACTGCGGAGATCAACCTGACATGGTGCATTGTTAGCAATGGATCCACTAGACCATTACTAACAATCCCCTTTCCCCCCATTTTATACAGTTTTTTTTAATGCATGACAATGTAATGGTACACCCGCCTGCGCTAACAGTGTACGCTGGCGGGGCACCAGTGGAGGATGATAAGATGAACATGAGGTCAGGTCAGTTAGACCATCGTGACTAATTCACCAGGAATTTGTCACGATGGTTTCCAGGGAGAACCGCATGGAGGTTGACTTGCCACAGCACACTGCTAATGGGGTCTTAGTCCCCATTACTAATAATCCCCTCTCCCCGAATTTCTCTACGTGTCTCAATGATTTCTGCCGATATCTTGTCGATACCAATTCTTACGTCGTGAGCTGTGCTCAGGGTTAAAGGATGAGATGTGGCAGTGGAACTAAACTATATGAAGGCATGATAACTTAGCCCTTAGGAATGACAACGCATAAATTATCATTGGCCTCACATGACGTTGTGATGGGTCCTGTTCATGTATATATACGATCATTGTTATTTTCCTTCATCCATCCGTTTGTTTTGCTAAATCCAATTCGGTGACTTCATCTACATGGATAGAGTTAAAAATTGAAAGTTACCAGAATTTTTTACTACCAGATTCGATCCTAAGATATTTAAAGCACTAGGAGGTAGTACATCACAAGGCCATGACGTTTCCTGCACTATTGCGGACTATTTATTATGCTAAGCCTAAACGTAAGCGGCTTGAGATGGAATCAATTGCATCTTGCCTGTACTTCCTTTGAGGAATTAAGCGGTTACAAGACGACTATAATACAAGAGGCTTATATACCACAGACTCTCTAATAGGTAAGTAATTCTTGATAATCAATGTTGAAAGAATTGTGGCTTTGCAAATCGAGACTTTCTTAGGTATAGAAAATAAAATCATGACAAGAAGAGAAACAATCTGTTTTAGAATTAATGTTTCATCGTTTCACGTATGAAATTTTCAGTGTTTATGTCGTATAGTATAAGACTATTTATTAATTAAATAGTCATAATTTTAGGTTAAAGAAAGCAAATAAGAGGTCTAATAATTTGGCATATATTTTTCCATACGCGTTCCATATAATTTTATTAAATAATTTATTAATAAAATAATATATAGAGCGGTGTATATGCTTCATTTGTCTATAAATTATATTATATATTTCAGCAATAGATGGTATTTACTAATTTGCATGAAGTCGCAGGCAAAAGTAGTTTTAAAATACGTTGTTATATCATATTGGTTTCATCTGGTGATCCTATTATCATTCACTATTGCCTCTCCAGCATAAATCATCAGTATAGGTACCAGTAGTTAGTAATTATTACTTTAGTACATATTATTAAAATAGTCAATTGGGTATTAACACGAATAATCTTATGGTAAATAAAGTATGGAAGACGCAGCGTGGGAAGGCCTCCAGCTAGGTGGACCGACGATCTGGTCAAGATCGCGGGGAGGCATTGGATGCGAGCAGCGCAGGACCGATCGTCGTGGAGATCTTTGAGGGAGGCCTATGTCCAGCAGTGGACGTCTTCCGGGCTGCGATGATGATGATGAAATAAGGTATTTACCTCTCGACGTTTCAATCAGCTTGTACCAGCTTTAATGCTGCTCTGTGGGGGTTTTTAATTGGTATAAATCCCACACACTATCTTGCGATCTTGACAACGGCTAGTAACGTAGTAAACACTTTATTACCTTATTCGTGTTAAGATTTTTATGTTAATTACTATCCACCTACCAAAAATTGTTTTGCCATATAAGTTAAAATCGCTAGTATTAAATAGGGGTTGATGGTAGAAGGGTTTAGGTAAAATTTAGGGTTGCATATACATACAATATAAAAACATAAAAATATAAAATTTTGTCCAATAAATAAAATAAAAATGTTAGGTTGGATGTTAGGACAACCCTTATCACTTAGGGGAATGAATAGAATAAATAGATAGTAGCCGATTCTCAGACCTACTGAATATGCATATAGAATTTCATAAAAATCGGTCAAGACGTTTCGGAAGAGTATGGTAACTAACATTGTGATAGGAGAATAGAATAGAATGGAATAGAAAATCATTTATTAAAATAAACTTACATTGAAGCACTTTTGAATAGTCATGTCTATATTTTTAATCTACCGCTCATTCGAAAAGCGGTCTCATCACAAGAAGAACGAGCAAGAAACTTGCGTGTTGCTCTTTTAAATAATTTTATTATTACTTTACATTTTTAAGTTTAAGTATGTAAATACATACCACCAATTAGCACTAATTCAATTAAATACTCAAATAGAAAAATATTGAATATATAACCAACTGGTTAAACAATTAATTAAAGAAATCAGTCATAGTGATTAGAGCAGACCAGTCCCTACAAGCAGCACCAGTTCACGAGTATGACGGATGAGCCAGCCATCACTGCGCTCGACCATATTTTAGGGAGCCCAATGACCCGGCCCACCACGCCGCCATAAGTCTGGACAAGTGGTGAGAACTTTATATATAAGATATTAAACCCGATTAACTGCAATATATTGATAGTATTTTATGTTCATCCATTAAAAAACCTTTATCAATTTACTGTATATTAACAGTAGCTGGACAAAGTGAATAGTTTGCCTCCCGTGTTCTTGGTCCAGATAGGAAATGATTACATTAAATATTTGTATGTGGGCGTTGCGTAGTATTAGGTGACTACTACAGGAAGTACGTGTACTTTATTTAAGTGCGGACGAGTGCAATCATAGTCCTTCTAAATGACGCAATCGATCGACTTGAAATATTTATGATGTACTTCTTTATTTATCAGCCGTCTTCTTTTTAATACTGCAATGGTGTTAGCATCTGCACCGGATGAAAGTAGAAACAAGTGTAGAGGGTATTTCAAGCCTTCGGAAGGTCTTATGGAGCGACCGAACCGCAACTCTTGCGTAATGGACCTCGGAGAATGCCGTTGTATATTCCCGATTAAACATCAGCATGATTTATCACTTTTTCAGATGGCACCATATAGGTCATCAGCACGTTTTGCTTTTCAGTTATATAAAAACTAGCTGTCCCGGCAAACGTTGTTTTGCCTTAAAATAAAAAAAAAAAATTAGGGGTGGACTACCCCTAACATTTAGGGGGATGAAAAATAGATGTTGGCCGATTCTCAGACCTACTCAATACGCTCACAAAATTTCATGAGAATCGGTCAAGCCGTTTCGGAGGAATATGGGAACGAAAACTGTGACACGAGAATTTTATATATAAGATCTTGCGAATAAAGACTTGACAACAATATTTTTTTCGTGTGTTCAAGCAACTGTAATATTTTGGTTACATTTATGTGGGAAATGTATTATTAGTAACTACCTAAATAATAATACGAGTGAGGACAATTTTAACATAGTTCGGTGCGGACCTTTATTCGTGTCCATGTACTGGATCGGTGGGTGGCAAATGGACTAGAAATATTTAGAGCTGTCTTTGTTAAAAAAAATAAGATGAAACAACTTTACATTATAATAATTATGATTAGGTAGGTGTTCATAAAATAATATGTGATGTTAAATGTTCCCTCTATATACGTTTACGTGCTAGCTGTACCCGCGGTATTAGCGGCATATTTATAGCATATGTATTATTTTGCTATATAAGCTATATTACTGAAAATCCGTTCAGTAGTTTTTGCATGAAAGAGTAACAAACATCTATCATGTATCCATGCATGTTTTTTCGCGTTTATAATATTAGTAGGATTCTGTGGCTACATTATAATGTATCATATAAAAACTCTGAATATGAGACACACGTTATTACATGCCGACCGTCATACGTAACTAATGGGTTGCCATTTCGTAGGACTAAGATAATTATCTAGGATAATTAACACGTTGTCATCTAGTCCCAAGCTTGCGGTATGGGTACTAGATAATTTAATATATATAAATAGATACTTAAATATATATTTTTTTGGAAATACATGTATTCGCTGCCTTTTCTGCCTTTTCTCTTCGACCTGAACATAGCTCACAACTGTTTGACGCCTAAAATAGGTAAGACTGAAAACGACTATTTACAAACCCTATCTCATTAAAATCTGCTATTTTACATCATACAGTAAATACCGTATTTAGTCCTGTACACATCTACTACAGCTCTATGTATTTTATGTTCTCGGACACACGTGGTAATTTCATATTTAACAGCAATGGGGCACCCACACCATACATTGTGGTAGACGATGGATGTCGAACACGCGCGCATTGTCATCTAACTTCCGTGCCTTTTTAAATCTGTAGGTATAGAAAAAAAAATACGCGCGTTTTCTAGATTTTATAGTCTGTGACCTCAGTGAATCAGTGATCATTTGTGGTCGTGTTTTTGGAATGTAAATTGACGTTACGAGATCATGGACAAATTTCGTAAAAAAGGTTCGTTTTGTTTATTACTTTGTTATAAACTATGATGTAAACATTAAAACATGATTATATATAAATTGTATTTTATATAAATACAAAGTAAATAAAAAAAATCACATAGATAATAAATAAAAGTTCGTAAAATTTTGAAACGAAATATTTTTTTATTTTCTCTTGGTGGCTACGCACAAAGTTCATTGTAATTCAACAAGAAAGTTTTGTTCTTTCTTGTTTATGAATAATATTTTTTGTTCGTTTTTGTTATATTTATGAAAACTGTAAATAAAACATATTCATTAATAATAATATTTCAAAGTATTTTCATTATTAGCAAGTCAGGTCAATAAAAGGAAAAGTCAGGAAACTTTCGTCTCTTTGGCGGAAAAGATTAAATATAAATAAATTGTACAGTTTTATATTACGAAGAAGCAAATTGTAAGTATATTATATATTGGTCTACAAATACGTAATATAATTATATGCTTTCCTATCTTTATTCCATGGAACAAATTTTTGTTCATAATAATTTACTATTGGAAGGATTTATACAAAGTTACTTGCGACCTGTTACTTGCTTAACCTGATTCTGCCGCCCCCATATGTGTTTTGGTTTGAAGAAAGAGATATTACAGCCAAATTACAGTGCAAGGAGGCATAACAAAAAATCGTTCAGAAACTTGCCACAATAAATTTTATAACTGTATATATTTTTACTTATATATAAACTCTGTATTACATTAAACATCTACAAGAATTATGTTAACAAGAGATATTGATATACAAAAAGCGGTGTTATCGTAAGCAAGCAATTACATATTCCATTATTATTATTATTTTCTATTCTATTCTAGTACCATCGACCACCCTGCTAATCGTTTCTCCTCTACGCAAAGGTTGTCTGGAAGAGATCTCAAAAGTGATAAAACCACCTTTTGTATGTACTATGTTAATTTTAATTCTTGTAATATATCTGATGCAATAAAGAGTATATAAATAAATAATACCACCCAGTTATATAAAAAACAGCAAATTTTATATATTTATGTGTCGTCTTAAATTCGGTGATACAGTTAAGTGCCTATCCTAATTTTCTTTTATGGTACAACTTTTTGTTTTAAGATTGCTCATAACAAAGACAATAACTAGCAGGTGCATAAAAACCCTATTAAATATTCAACTATAAAAATGGTCGCGTGCCGATCGATGGCTACGCTGCCCTACTTCCATAAGTTTCGAACTTGCAGCCTACCTAGTCAGCTTATATAGTTTTTAGTGAGCTTACCTATTTTACACTTAGTAGTAGTTAGTAAGTGCTTAGATAATTAATTTAATTTAATATTGTTTCTAGCAATAAAAAAAATAAAGTATTGCAATAATAATAATAGGAATAATAAAGTGATATTAAATAAAAATTAAGCTAAATAAATATTATGCTTGAATATATTAACAAATATTGAATAATTCTATGTTTATATATGAGTTTAGAAGTAGATCAAGTGATTTTTTTAATGATTCACAGTTACTTAAAAGTTTAATATTGTGTTTAAAGTTTTGATATTTGCAAGATACGGAATTGCTATTTTTCAAGATTAATGTAAGTACTGTGTATTTGTGTCGAGTAATATTTGTATTCATTCTATATAGAGTTGCCACTCGTAATTTTATCCCAGAACTTGTCCCAGTTTTCGGAAAATCCCATCCCAATACATCCTATGTAGTTTTTAAGCAGCATCCTGAGTTTATAAATTTAATTAAAAATTATTTTATTAAAATTTATAATATTATAATTACTTAAAATTTTTTCACATGTTTTTATTACATATTAATTTAATTATTGCAACTCCATTGCGTTCTGTTTTTTAATTGAATTGTCCTGTTATTACCCAACTTCAAATCCTGGTTTTTTTAATTTATGATTGGCAATACCGATAAACGTCTCCTTTATATATAAAGAGCAATGCGGACATCACGTTATCACGAGACCCCCATGATAGTACTATGGTGTTTCCATTCCGGATTATTACATTGGTTACTTTTATTTTTACTAAACGAACACAATTTTTACTTTGTTGTTTTATTTATTGTTATACGTTTCGTGCACATTTGAGGAAAACAACGATACAATTAACAACAACATCACAAACAAATATCTTGTATTGAATGTTTGAATCGTCGATTTTGTTTTTTATACCGTATTTATATTCTTATACCTAAATAAATACGTACATATATTTAATTAACATTTTTCTGGACGTAAATATTTTATACTTAAAGTTTTGCAGTAAATAATAATAAAAGTAATATAATGTAAGAAAAAAAGAACTTATAAAGGAATGTTATATCTAATATTTCTTGATCATTGTTCTTGCGATCAGTCAACATTGCGAATGAGAGGTAGAATAAAGAAAATGAGACTATTCAAAATCCTTATATTAGGATTATTTCAATAAAGATTATTTCTAATATCCTTTTTGTTAACATTACCTCTAATCAGTTTTTCTTCTAGCGTGTCACCGCGGCGTTGATTCTCAGTGGAGGACTTTTAGTATAGATGTTTTGCTAAAAGCAATTGTAGGACGGTAGAACGTTGTGTTAATAGAAGTACTGTTAACACAAATTTCTACTATTCTACAACTGAGCATAATAGTTACCATGCATATAATATACTGATTGGCACTACCTTTCATTGTTACAGAATTAGAAATGTTTTTCCTTACGGCCATGTTCCTTGTTGGTGCAGTTGTGACGCAGAACATCACTATCGATTGCATATCGTGCATCAAAGTCAACGCTACGTGTTTCAACGTGTCCTACCTGTTTGACATGAACGCTACCTTCCGAACACATATTGTTGTTCACAAAATGGGATTACTACGCAGTGAGAACACACTTTTCTACAGTTTCGAACCGGAAATTGCCGATAAGGAATATTATAAGGTTGCTTACGTTAATTTAGACAAACCAGATGTTCAGGGAGAAATTTCCGATGAACATATACCGATACTCAATTTCGGAACGTTTGATATTGATCAAGACAATTCTATTGTTTATTTGGGCGGCCATGATGGTATTTTCACTTATGGCGGTACTAAGAAATTAACACCGTATAGTTCTAGAGGGGACACAATATTAAGTCTTTTCTATAAAGGATTCGTTTATTTCGTCAAATCAGATGACAATAGAATCATTTCGAAAAAGGGCGATCAATTTAATAGTGTATTAGAGTATGAGCCTATTAAGAATTTTGTTATAACAAAATACGATGTTATTGTATTTTTAAGTAACTACGGATTGTTTTTGCACAAAAAAGGCGAAACCATTTGGTTGTCTAAAAATGCTTTCTTCAGAGGTCTGACTATTGATTTAGATGACACAGTTTATGCTTGGTGGATTGACGGCATATACAGAATTGTTATTGAAAAGAATCTAGCCGAATCTAGTATTGTAAAAGTGGCCGATATACCTGGCATAGGAGCGTTGACTTTCGATAACGATAATAACATTATATTCAGCTCGGATAGGAGCGTATTCAAAATGACAGAAACGAATATAACGAAATGTTGAAACGATTATTTAGTTCTTGTTTGTAAGTTATTTGTTAATGTATTAGATCTTAATATAACTTTGTAAAAAGTTGTCTGGGTACCTGAGTCTCGCCTATTTCAGCCTCAAAGCTGCATGCTTTGTAAAATGTGCTTCGGTAGAAAGGTAAGATAAGGCAGTGATATTACAGATTACGAGGCATGAGATCTTAGTCCTTAGAATGGCAACGCAAGGATATGACATGATAACGTATTGTATGTGCTGTCCGTATATACAGGCGACGGTTACCACTTACCACCAGGTGGACCGTCAGCTTGTTGGCCATTTCAACTCTACAGAAAAATATATAATATATTTGCCATAACGTACATGTAATATTTCATTAATAGGTAAGAACTGTTGTGAAGAAAATTTTGTGTTAAAGATATAAGAATGTAAAATAAAAGATAATATAAGTAATTAACATAGTAATATTAATGAGGCGTAAAAATTACTTAATGATACAAATGTAACTTTTAATTTTAAATGCTATAAATATTAACAATATAAATGAACTTACATAATGATGGTGAAATCATCATCATTTCTTGCTATCTGCTTTGTTGTATGAAATCATTGTATGACTTTATTTATTTAAATTTTTTTGGTAATGTTATTCTCAACAGTATAATGTAATTTAATACTTAAATAATAATATATGTACTTTAGACGTAATTAAGTATTTGCCTAATAATTATATTTGGTCGTATATTTGTAGATATAAAATTTAAAAATAAAGTATTTGTTAGTAAATTATTACTTTCCTATATATAACATGTGTAAAGTTTATATTCCCTTACAATGCAACAGAAATATTTTTGATTTTTTGTATTATAGACTTTAATATTCATAAAGTGAATACAGGATCGATATTAGATTAAATAATTTTCGTTTAAAGAAAAATAACAAGCATTCTTGATGTAAATCGTCAAGAATGCTTGTAACATAAAAATTACAGATGATCTAAAAACCTGCTTCTTTCTGAAGTGGGTTTAAATAACAATTTTAATTGTATTTGTTCAATTACCAGCGGGTATATTGACACAAATAAATATAGAACAATTAACCACAGCAATTGGAGTACTCGGCGATTAAGTGGATTGTGTAAGAGGTATAGGTATACAAGGACGAGGCTGATACGAACGCTAGACGACTATAAAATACATTTAACTGTAAAGTTCAAGGTTTACTGGGTTTTCTCACGACATACTACCGAATATGATTTTCTTACACGTTCACAGTGTATAATGTAATGGGTATATTGCTTCAGGCACGAGAAATATTTTATTGGAGGTGTGCTTGATTATTTCATTACAAACTAGCGACCTATACAGGCTCCGTAAGGATGCATTACACATTTTTGAATTTCTCAGCATCTACTATACTAAAATATGCATGTATTATATATATAAACCTTCCTCTTGAATCACTCTATCTATTGCTGAAAACTACATTTAAATCCGTCGCGTAATTTAAAAGTATAGGTAAGTGAACAGACAGCGATAGCGACTTTGTTTTAGGTTATGTAAAGATAACCTCATTAAAAGAACATTTCTCCCCATCATTCTGACTGGTTGGTTTCAAATTAATTTCGAGACATTAATAAAATCATGAATAACACCTCCAATAAGCGATTACCTACATACTGTCTCAAGGGAAACCTGTCTTCGAATATTCACAAATGAAATGAGAAAAAAAACATGATAAATGAAGTCGGCAAGCTTTGTATTGGTTTAGAAAACGTGACATTTATTGTGACGGTTTCGGGGGAAAACTAATGGAAGATAAGAAGATATATGTGAAAATAATAATGTGAAAATCATATTTATATGTCAGATATATACAGAGGCGAGACTTTATAAATGAGGTGTCGCAGTTAGGATGTGTCAAACCGATTATACCGATATCGAATTGAGTAATAATCGATATTTACAATATTCTATTATTAGGTAATGATATAGAAAACATAGGTATGTCGCTAATATGTTCTTCTTTCGTTCATATTTGATAAGCCGCGCTCTTGTCGGTGCAGCTTTTGGCATTTCCCAGGATTTTCCATCAACAACACGACTCCAGGTTTTTTTCTTGATCTGTTTACTATAGCTGTCTCTTGGTCTTCCCCTTTCCCTCTCTCCTTCTATTTTTCCTTCGATAAGATTATTCATAAGTTCGTAGAATAGTAAGTATCAAGTATCCCAAGATTTTCTTTAACCCTTTGCAGTACTTATTCATTTTTTATTTTATCTTTACGGCTAATTCTTTCCACCCTTCTCAACACCACATTTCAAAAGCTTCCAATTTGTCCCTTTCCTTTTGAAGCAATGTCCAAGTTTCACAGACAACCATATGTATAGTTACATATAAATGTATAAATACATATGTATACTTAAATACAATAAAACCGTTTATCCCAACTGTCCACGCACAGCCTAAACTAAACGTGTAGAAAGTTACCATTTGATATACAAGTTCATTTTACTGCGTAACCATGTGCAGGAAGACATTTAATTAAACACCACGCGTGTAAAGTCGTGAGCAACAATATATATATTAAATATATACAACTGTGTATATTTGTACGTAAAGAAAGACTGGATTTTGATTTGGACGACCTAAAAGGGTAACCGGTAGGGATAGCCAGAATTTTGCGGACAGAGTGAGTCGAGGGATAAGGGTGACTACTATTTATTTTAAGTAAAATGACTAGTGAAACGGTCCACTATTAAGAACAGAAGCTTAAGACTACTCATAAAAGTGACATATATAAATAAAAATTTCATTATAAAAACGATTTTTCCGGGCAAACAGGTAACTTCTCCGCTAGTAAACACGTTAAGATTTTGACTTGATAGAAATAACTATTTACTTGAAAATCAGAGTATATAAACTCTGTCAAGATTGTCAGACAAGGAAAAGACTATAATTTTTCAAGGCTCGAAACTGTCTAACATTTCTCTTGGAGAACTTGGAAGTCAGGCTCTCGGGTGCCTACCTGTGCAAACTTTCACAAACTTAGATGCATTTGTAACGTCTGCAAATATATACTTAACTATTAGGCAGCCTAGTAAATAGTATATACTAAGACAACATACTGTGAGGACCTCGGTGGTTTAGTGGATTAGCACACCGTAAAGTCGCGGGTTCGATTTCTCGCACGATGAAATGATTATATAGATTATATATTTGTTAGTCTATAAGGTATTCATAACTGAAGTGAATTGAAAAGGATTGAAACTGGGTATAATAAAATAAACGAGGAATATAAAGGAAAAGAAAATAAACTTATTTTTGTCTATAGTTTATTTATAGTACCTAAATGTAATCAAATAAAATTTATTGCATCGAAACAAAAACAACATATTACATTTAGAAAATAATAGGATCATTAATATTATATTTCTTAGGAGAATTAAATTTTTTTTGTTGTACTATATAAGTTAACTTATAACATATACTTTATACACATGCGATGTGTCCTTTATGTTCTATAAGTCTCAATATTACCTACATAATGTCCTTGGCGTCCTTAACTTATTGCGTAGTACAGTGTTAAATGTATGAAGAAGATAGAAAATCCTTTATTCTACTTTACATAATTTTATTTTAATAGTCATAACAATTCTTTTAATCTACCGCCCATTCGGAAAACTGTCTCATCACAAGAAGAACATGTGTGTTGCTCTTTTAAATAATCGTTGTAAGTTTACATTTTTCAAGTCGAAATCTGTAAGTTTATCCAAAACAAAAGACGATGAATCTTTTCTCTTACATACATGTTTAGATATGTATGTGTTGTCCTTATTGAGCATTGCTTTACGTGTAGACTCTCCAACAGTCGTAATCTTCACGGTGTTTGAATCGCGTCGGTTCATGAATATTTGCCGCTGTTTTGCCAAAAGGTAATTTCGGCTTCACGGCGATTATATTATTAGGAACGATAAGCGATATACCACTTTATTATCGTTCCCCTCGCGCCCATCACTCTCTGCTTCGAAATTGACTCGTATTTTTATGGCCAATGAAAAATGCGGAATTAAAACTTTCCCGCGCAACAATGTCTGACGTTATGATAGCCTCGCATTTACAACAAAATACAACTATTATATATTTTTTTTAATAAATAAGTGACAATTCAATAGATGGAAATTAAGTAGTGTTAAAGACTAGATCACTGATAGATATAGTTTGGATTTAAATATATATAATTGGTATATTTGATTTATATGTTTTATTTCATATTTATTTATAGATTGATATATATTATATGTACTTGTGTATGTATATGCATGTGTTTACATGTGTTTGCTTTTAGTATATGTATATTTTTTTTGTACTATTGTTTTTTTATTGATTATAGGTATATGCACCACCTACAATTATTTTCTGCACAACCTGTGGTTGACTGATAGAAAATGCCGTAAGGCGTTAAGTCCGCCATATGTACTTATATATATTTACCTTGGTATTTTGTGCATTGAAGTTATATAAATAAATATAATTAATGTCTGACGGATAACCTCGTATGGACAACAAAATACATGTTCTTATTTTTTTTATTAAATTATTAACTGGATAATTCACATGGTCACACATATCTAAATAGTCGGAAACTAAGCAGCATTAGATATTAGATCTTTGATAGATAAACTTTTGTTTTAAATGTATATGATTATATCAGATAGAAAAGCACTTAAATTGATGCCAATAAACACATCTTTGTATTAGGTTCCTAAATATAAAGTTCAAAATTTTGTTCAATTGCCGATCAAAATTGTTCATATTGTGTAATATCTATGATATGAAGACGTCTTAATAATGAGTCTTTCTACTCGATTCCAGCGAAATTCGAATTCTTATACATTTTTTTTATTAGTATTCTGTAATCTAATTACAAAAATAAATAGAAATATTGTTTTAATTAATATATAAAAAATCAATTAAAATAAAATAACAATCCTTTATCAAACTATATACTAAACACTAAGGTCGTAGCTTTCTATGATTCTATGTCTATACAGACTTAGTTAAGAAGAATGTATAAATTCAATTTATTCCCCCTAGGTTAACCTCCACGCGGTTCCCCCTAGAAACCGTCATGTTAAATTCCTGGTAAATTTACCACGATGGGCTAACTGACCTGACCTCATACTCATCTTATCATCCTCCATCGGTGCCCGCCAGCGTATACTGTTAGCTAAGTCGGGTGCACCATTCCTTTGTTATCCAATATAAACTTTTTCCTCTTCAATCAAAAACTAAACAAAACAAACCAATCCTTATCCATACT